GACGTGCTTGCACCACCGCAAAGAAAAATTTGTGTTTTTTCCATTGGCACCCAAAACTGTGAGAAGAACAAATTAGTCTCTGAGATCTGAATGGATTAAAAAAAACGTCTAAAACAAGAGAGCTATTGAGAAGTGTGGCTTAAATACTAGTTAGAACATGTTTATTGCAGAGACTGATCAAAGTGAAACAATTTTAAACTAAGAAAATTTTAATAGAATAAAATAAAATGCAGAAATTTTCCGTAGAACAAGCCTTCATTATAAAAATTGTGACCTTGGATTCCACATGGCTAATCCGCCTTGTCTCTCTCGACTCGTTTCAGCATTTCTGCTCGCTGAGATTGAGCAGGAATTACTAGTGTAAGTGTCTGGGAGTGAAGCAAGGGGATTACACTGATTGAAGAGCGGGAAAGAATGTACCACTTCATTGTAATCCAGGTGACATCACAACATCTTTAAATGCAACTATTGTGCTCTGCTTATTTAAAGACGCTGCTTATTCTTTCTCAAAACGTTGACTAGATTGAATCCAGAAGCGTTATTCCCATTCATATCTCAAAAGCACATGCTGCCTAAGATTTCTGAGCCAAGTGGATTTTGAATACAACTTCCAAAGCAAAATCCTTTTAATATTTGATAATTAAGTTGCAAGATTAGTACATTTAAAAAATAAAAATAAAAAATAAATAGTTGTGGCAGAAAATCGCAATTTAAAATTGTCAGTCCAATTGGGACAAACCTCTTTTGCTTTGAACTGAAAATTCTGCAATCATTTGCTCACCCTTGTATAACACTTTTTAGTTACACCCCCCAAGAGGTAAAATTTCCATCATAATCTATTACCCATCATTTTAATTTTCATATTTTAATTATAATAAAATTTAATTGCTTGTATTTTTGGTCACATTTTAATTTTTAATAATTAACCTACAGGACAAGCATATAGGCTTATGCATTTCTTTATTTATGAAGAGAACAGTTGAACAGAGACTGCGCGTAACTTTTCATGTTCAACACCACAGTGACAGCGGAGGCAAATAAAAACAGCAAAATATGCTAGGGCAATTTCTCGATTTGAATA